GATGCCCTGAACGATAATAAAGAAGATTGATTTAAATCTGTGAGCGCTGACTGATTTAATGTTCTCTCTCTGCAGAGATAAAAGTATGTCTGAGATCCTCCTCTGTTACCCGGAGGTCAAGTCTGAGAACGACAGCGGGAAGAAGGTGACCGAGTACTTCAACAAGTACTGGCTGATGCTGAGCGAGGCGGAGAGCGCCGCGCTCTACCCCGAGAAGGGGATGCAGAAGTGAGTGTGGATCTGCTGCTCTCAGCATTATTTAAAATGTGTGATGTGACGATGAAACCAAAGCGCTCCGTCCTGTTTTCAGAGAGGAGATGAAGTGGCGTCAGTGGGCCGATGATTGGCTCGTCCATCTTGTATCTCCAAACGTTTACCGAACCACCGGCGAGGCCCTGGCCTCCTTCGACTACATCGTCCGGGAGGGGAAGTTTGGTACTTACGAGGGTTTCTTTGCCAAATACGTCGGAGCTGCGGCCATGTTCATCATCTCCAAGAGGCTGAAAAGTCGGTGAGCAGCGCCTGAAGATTACCGCCTCTGATTCACCCGGCAGGAGGAAGTTCTTCATCTGAACCTCCGGGGATTTTAAAAATCTCTCTTTTTCAGAGAGTCCTGGCAAACGTCGAGCAGGCACACGTACAGAAACAAAAAAGATCGTCTTAAAACATGAAAAATGACCTTGAACCGCAAATGTTTTTCAAATCATCCAATGAGAGCAGCTCGTTCAGTTACAGCTCTTTGTGGGATTCGTTGAAACGTTTTGTCGTCGTATCTTTTTAATTCCAAAGTCAGAGATTCTTTTTCCTCCCTGTTTTTAAAATCAGATACAACCTGCAGGACGACGTCCGGCAGGATCTGTACAAAGCTGTGAACGACTGGGTGACGGCCATCGGCAAGAAGAAGAAGTTTATGGGAGGAGACAATCCCAACCTGGCTGACCTGGTGAGAGGACACACCCCTCTCTCTCTCTCTCTCACTCTCTCTCTCTCTCTCTGTCTCTCTCTGTCTCTCACTCTCTTTGTAAACGTTTAATCTCTCTCTCTCTCTCTTTGTAAACGTTTAATCTCTCTCTCTCTCTCTCTCTCCGTCCTGCAGGCGGTGTTTGGCGTCCTCAGAGTGATGGAGGGCCTGCAGGCGTTTGACGACATGATGGAGAACACCAAAGTCAAGCCCTGGTACAGACGCATGGAGCGAGCGGCGCTCAACCACGAGGGTCGCAAGTGAAGCCGGACTGACGTGGAAAACGGGTGAAGTGACCTTCAGCCTCAAAAAGACTTGAGTGACCAGCGACGAGAAGATCGCTTTGAGAGCGCTCACTGCTGCCGTGGTCGACTTCCTGCAGAGATCAATGAACACGTACAGAAATGTACCGTAACAACTTATTTTATAACCGAGGAGGAACCCTGAAAACCTGCTTTTCACGTTCTATCATTTGTACTGACCTCTAGTGGTGAACGGCTTGAACTACAACACACCTGCACAGAGCACCTGACATGATGCATTTCTGTTAATATCCTGCAAATATGTTTCTTTATGTTTGATTAAATGAATGATGAGAAAAGTCCATCCTCTCCGTCTTCTGCCTGCTCCACTTTTCAGAAAATGTGTGCTCAAACAGGCCGTTTGGAGATTTTCCCTTCATGACATCACAAAGGGCAGTAGCCCCTCCCCCAGGTGGGTGACACTCCCACAGCTAGGTGTTTGTTCTGCCCTCTGAGTCTGCCTTCTCACCGTAAGCAATAGGACATGGAGAGAGAAAGACCAGAGTACACCCAAGCCCTTCTAGAGAGGGGGCGTGGTCAGACACAGCTCATTTACATATTTAAAGGTACAGACACAGAAACAGCCTGTTTCGAGCAGGGCTGAAATAGAGGGGTTTATAGACATGATCAAATACAGGATCAGAGTGGATTTAGAACAAGAAACTTCACGTTTTGAGGAGCTCTGAGACTTATTGAAACTGAAGAGGAGGATATGTGAGCTTTAAACTGGATAGTAAAAGGATTGACGCTTTTAAGTATCTGATGAAAAAAGTGAAGCCTTTAATCAGCTTTGATCTGTTTAATCCCTCAGAGTATTTCTTAAAAAGGTCTACATGTCATCCTGAAGAGTTTAAGTGCAGCACAGTGAGACACAAAATTAATTACTTACCAAAACAACTGAATACTTTCTCAACATGGTGATGGATTCTGCGCCCCTGAATCTGAATGATTTCATGACATTTGTTCTTTTCATGACGGGTGAAGAGAATAAAAAAACAGACTGGAGGAGGATGAAAGTATCCGATAAACTGCAGAGGAAGTTTTTATTTCAGACATTTGTGAATTTAATGCAGATTACATCTCATGTAAAAACCAACATTATAGCTTAAACACACACACACTTCCACTCAGTCACATTCCTGTTTCAACGTGACGTCACCGAATCGTTCGTTTCTGAAATCCTGACCGATAACGTCAGCACGTTTACATTTCTGATGGGAGGTGAAAACATCGCTCACATTGATTCAACAACAGCTCTAACCCGCCATCCTCACGCTGGATTACATAAAAAAATAAAATAAATATCAAAGTTCATATCATGAAACTCTATTTTTGATTTGAACAGAGGCCGTGGAGACTTCTTAAAAACAGACAGAATATAAATCGTATTTACCTCCAGCTGGACGTCAACACAAAAGAGATAAAGTGAAGCAAACAGCCCGACAGTGAGTTCGCTGAGCGGGTTCAAAGGTCAACATGCAGGAGACGCTCACATCTCAACCCAGAGCAGGATTAGTTCACACCATCGTTACATCTGCTCTTTGGTTACACACACTCAAAGATTAGGAGGAGCATTTTAAAGATGGAAGAAGCAGCGGTGATAGAACTACAGATGCATGTTTGAACTACAACTCCCAGAAACCCACAGACACCGTAAACTGAGAGGACGGGTGTTTTGATGATTATTCCTCTCTCTAATGAATCACAGGATGCTTTTAATTTCAATCACGAAGAGAAATGGACTTCCAGAACACCTGACTGTTGTCGCCGTTTGATCTACAAAGGCTCAAGTTTTGTTTTTGTTTTTAAATCGAGCTGCGGCCTCGAACTCATCCTGATGAAGACAAACGGACAAAAAGCTCAGCGTTCAAACATCGTCAAGGCGACCGTGCAGTCAGTCTCTCTTCATCGTTTCCTCTCTGATTTATTGTGTCCTAAACGCCGTCACCCAGCAGCGTCCATCACGCCGCCCTCCTCCATCACGTCCTCCAGAAGGTGGCGCTCAGCTGGCCTTTAGGCGGGCTGATCTGTCGGCTCTGCAGAGACGTCTACGAGACGGAGGAAAAAATGTAATTCAGCAAAACAGAGCTCACAAAGACGCGCCACATAAATCTGTATTTCTCTCATGCAGTTTAGCAAAATGACTCAACAGCGCCCCCTAGAACTTTTCCAAAATGGCCTCCCCCGTAGAGGTTACTTTGACCTACATGTATGAAACTCAGTGTGCATATAAAAAAGCCAAAACCCAACAGGAAGTCCGACTCTTTGATTTGAATTTCAAAATAAAAAGTCTAATGTTTGCATCTGACAGGTTTCCTATCTGAACAAATCCTCAACATGATTCTACATCAAAGGGTGTGATTTTGTGGCTCGTGTGGTGTGCTGTGATGTCAGGTGGTTCTCTGAGAACACCGACCTCTGACCTCTGACCTCTGACCTGTGGAGCGGCTGGCGAGCGAGAGCTTCTCTCTAACGTACCTCCAGAAACTGTTTGAGTCTGATGACGGAGCCCATCTGTCCCGTGCTGGTCACCGCTTCAATCCTGCACAAAGCAAAAGACACAAAGTCAAACACACCTGTGTGTGTGTGTGTGTGTGTGTGTGTGTGTGTGTGTGTGTGTGTGTGTGAGAGAGAGAGAGTGAGTGAGTGAGAGAGTGAGAGAGTGAGAGAGTGAGTGAGTGAGTGAGTGAGAGAGTGAGTGAGTGAGTGTGTGTGAGAGAGAGAGAGAGAGAATGAGTGAGTGAGTGTGTGAGTGAGTGAGAGAGAGAGAGAATGAGTGAGTGAGTGTGTGTGAGAGAGAGAGAGAGAGAATGAGTGTGTGAGTGAGTGAGAGAGTGAGTGAGTGAGTGAGTGAGTGAGTGAGAGAGTGAGTGAGTGAGTGTGTGTGAGAGAGAGAGAGAGAATGAGTGAGTGAGTGTGTGAGTGAGTGAGAGAGAGAGAGAATGAGTGAGTGAGTGTGTGTGAGAGAGAGAGAGAGAGAATGAGTGTGTGAGTGAGTGAGTGAGTGAGTGAGTGAGTGAGTGAGTGAGTGAGTGAGTGAGTGAGTGAGTGTGTGTGTGTGCGCGTACCTGGGGAAATATTCCTCTTTAAGCAGCAGGATGAGTTTCCAGAACTGATACTGATATTGTTTCACCAGAGCGTAACCACACACCTGAAGGAGACACAAACACACACACCTGAAGGAGACACAAACACACACACCTGAAGGAGACACAAACACACACACCTGAAGGAGACACAAACACACACACCTGAAGGAGACACAAACACACAGACGTGTAAACTGTGAGAGCGCTCACACACACACGAGGACAAATAACCATGGAGTGTGGAGAGCGACGATGTCATGTGACCCAAACAGCTCAACACACACCAACACAATAATTCACCAACAACCAGAATCCTGACTCTGAACATGTCACTGAATCTCTCACCGTCACACATGACTTCAGAGTTAACAAACATGGCCGCCTACAGGCATGGAGACATTTAGATGTTTCACAAAGAACGAGGTTAACATGAAGACGAAGACGTGGAGACGGCGTTAAGGTGGACTGAACAGGTTAGAGAGCGAGATGGAGGAGAGAGTCGTTTCATTCATGTGACATTTCCCAGAATAATCAGGACTGTGATTCCATCTCTCTGGTTGTTAAACCTCTGTGAGCCTCTGTGTCGGTGATGTGATGTGAGAATAAATCTGCAGCTTTACAAACAGGAAGGAGCAGAACTCACCTCCAGGAAGTCGAACAGCAGCGTCGCCGTGATGTCGGCGATCGGCTCCATGTTGAGCATCTGAGCGAGCCATCGCCAGCCGTTGTTCAGACCGTGAGGAGACTGAAAGAAATCCAATGTTTTTACTGTCAGAGAAGAAACCTGATTCTCTACACACACACAACGAAGGGGAGATAAAAAAGTATTAAGACAAATGGAGAACATTCAGTCTTTAGTGTGAGAGGACGTTTTGATGTAACTGCAGCCAACGCCCGGTGGACTTCAGGCCGATGCAGACGCCATGTGTGAGGCGTACGACTCGTTTTAAATCCATTCAGCTCCATGACCTGGCGTCAGTCGTGTGGTGGACACTGAGGCTCGATGGCCGATCACTTTTCGATCAGCTGCTCTCGACCAGTCGGATGTTTGATACACGACTGCACACACTCACATTTTAACTGACAGACAGCGTCTGAAATCACCGTGGCAACAGCAGGCATGTTCTTTTTATCTGTCTCCTCCCTCCTGTCATGAAATACCTGAAACATCTGCAGGCCTCCAGCTGACAGGGAATATTTGATTTAGCCGTGCATGCGAGACATCTGAAATCGACTTTTCTATCGTACATCGTGAGCTCAGGTCGTGTATCGTAAATGATTCAGTCGGCGATGTGAGCAAAGACTTTTCTGCTACTGTATGTCTGGCTTTAAATGACTAGAGCTGCTCATTGAAATGTGATGCATCAGAGGTTATACTTTAAACGTTCAGTAGCGTGCTGAATAGCTGGTTAAAGATCTGGCTCCTCCTTTAAAATGATTAACGGGTCTGTTTTTTACCCCCTGCTTGGCGCCGTAGGGCCACCTGAGCTGGATGATGGCGGCGTAGAGACGGATCATCCCCGACATCCTCTTCAGGAAACTGTCCTGACCTTCGACCCCGGAGTCGTCCACGCGGTAACCGAGAATCCTGAAGACATAAAAGAAACGTCTTTTAAATCCGTCCAGATTTTTTATTAAACCATAGAAAGTGTGTGAGCCGCCTCCTGACCTCTGGTAATCCTCCACCGCCATGCCCTCCTTCATCGGGGGGTAATGAGGGACGGCGTACGGACATTTCTTGTGCAGGTGGGCGAGGAGGAAGTCGCCGACTCGAGGGTGAAGCTCCCAGACGCCCGAGGCCACCACGGCGATGGGGAACGCCGCTTCATGATGGGACGCCACCTCCTCCTCTCCTTGTTTCTGCAGAGACGATAAAAAGAGTTTTAAAAGAAAACATTTCAAACAACGGGACATGAAAACACGATAAGACGGAATAAAAACATGTCCAGTGTTTTTCACTCACCACAAACTTCTCAGCCAGTTTGTAGCAGACGAAGTCGAGGCCTTTAGGATGCTGCGAGGTGGAGACGGAGCGCCCCCCCGACACCACCGCCCGGCCCGACACCAGCTTGTCGATCTTGTCGAAGATTTCTCGGAGCTGTGATCCGGAGTTGCTGGAGATCTGACTGACGGGGATGCTGGCGGCTTTCTGGAGCTCCAGCTTGAGCTTCTTAGTCTGAGAGCAAGTAAATATATAAATACTGTAAATAAATATAATATATATAAATACTGTAAATAAATATATATAAATACTGTAAATAAATATATATAAATACTGTAAATAAATATATATAAATACTGTAAGTAAATAAATATAAATACTGTAAATAAATATAAAATATATAAATACTGTAAATAAATATAAATATATATAAATACAATATATATAAATATAAATACTGTAAATAAATATAATATATATATAAATACTGTAAATAAATATAATATATATAAATATATATAAATACTGTAAATAAATATAAATATAAATACTGTAAATAAATATAACATATATAAATACTGTAAATAAATATAACATATATAAATACTGTAAATAAATATATATAAATACTGTAAACAAATATTATATATATAAATATAAATACTGTAAATAAATCTAAATATATATAAATACTATAAATAAATATAATATATATATAAATACTGTAAATAAATATAAATATATATAAATACTGTAAATAAATATAATATAAATATATAAATACTGTAAATAAATATATATATATAAATAGAGAAATACTGAAAATAAATATATATAGAAATATACCTCATTTCGTTACTCTATACCACCTCATTTCGTTACTCTATACTTGTATATGTGTAATGACAATAAAGTTGAATCTCATCTCATCTCTCATCTCAAATACTGTAAATAGAAACTCCTCAAAAAAAGTTTGGAAACGTTATTTCGGTCCCTTATTTCGCCCCTTTAATCATTTGTGTTATATTTTATATTGTTGGAAAGCCTGATTAGTCACCTTTACAACGAGGCATAACTTGTAAGGATTGTGTATTCATGGAATGAGCAACACAGCTAAACGTTTGGGTAGCACCCCAATAGAAATGTGCTAAAATCCCCAGCAATGTTCTTCTGTTGGTATTACGACCAATCACATGCGTCTGTGCTGATGACTGACGAACGTCGAATGAAGTATTTTCATCCCTCGTTATTCACACGTCAGGTCATGATCGTGGACACCATGTTCTCCTCCTGAGTCCGAATAAAATTCTCTCAGTTGTTTAAATCAGGTGATATTTATATTAAAGAGAGGAGATGAGTCATGAATTATTTAAAGAAAACAGAGGAATGTAAAGTGAGACATGAAACACCCCCGTGTCGCTGGAATGGAACGATCCTGACCGTCGACTGAGAGCAGACTTCAGATTTAATTTTAGGCTTTTTTTATATATTTAAGTGGATAGAGCAGGAAACCGAGAAAGAGAGAGAGGAATGACATGCAGGCCGCCCGCTTGGAGGACTAAATGCTGCGTTCAGGTGCTGCTCGGATGGTCCAAGTTTCTGAGTTGGGAAGTCGACTTCAGTGTGTTCATGTGATTTCAGTTCAGAAAGTTTGAATGTTTTAACAACAGCACAAAACAGAGTTGATGCTACAAAGAAGAAGAAGATCAGTGAGATGTAACTGTTAAAAGTTGACATGCAATACGTGAATTAATAAAAAGTATGTTAACATGAACAAAACATCTTTTATGTGATGATGATTCAGACGTCAAGTCGGGTACTTAATTATTTTCAGAGTTTCCGAGTTCTTGTTCCGACTTGAGTAGGTTTTACAACTCTGAAACTAATTTTTCCGATGTTTCCGACGCCACCTGAATGCACCATATAGGCTCCGTACATGAGGTGGGCCGTCATCACTCACCTGTGCGTCTTTCGGGGAGCTGAGTTGTTCGAAGGACTTGGCGCACTGAGCAGCCGACTCCTGCAGCTCCTTGAACCATTTCAGCGTGCCGTCCTCGGCGCTGTTCTGCAGACCTTTACGAGGACCACAACCAGGACTTAGATTATTCTGCACCGCCAGACGCCACCACAGACCAGAACATGAGCGAGTAACGAGACGAGCAGATCTCTCACCTTTCCTCTGCGCCTTCTCTTTGGCCGACTGCTCCGCCTTCTTCTGCGCTTCCTGCTGCGCCTGGAGCGCCGCCTTCTTCCTCAGCTCCTCCTTCTCCTCCGCCTGCTCCTTCTTCTTCTGCTCCTGAGCCTCGGCGACCTCCTCCTGCATCAGCCGGATCTGCGCCCGCATCTCGTGGAGCGCTCGCTCGGCCACCGCCATGTCCTCCACGCTGGGAAACTCTCCCTGAGGAGACGCAGACGGACGGGAGGGAGGAGTCATATAAAAACTGCACACTACATGTTGTAGTATTGTGAAGGAGGGAACCACGGTCCAAACCTGAACACATTAGTAAAGACTCAAACTGACCTCTGCCGTCTTCCTCACGACCTCGGACACCTGCGAGCACAGCTGGTTCCCGCGGGCGCTCAGGGAGCTGAGGCTGGCGGCGGGGAGGTCGGTTTTGGACAGCTTGGACGGATCCAGCAGCTGGTTGAGCTGCAGGATCTCCTCCTGGATGGTGTTCAGGTTCCTCAGCCTCTCCCTGCCCTCCACCTGACGCTGCCGCTCGAGCTCCGCCTCCTTCAGGCGCTGCTGCTCCGCCTCCCGCAGCCGCAGGTTGAGGATCTGAAGACGCAGACGAGGAAAGGAAAATATTTAAATCGTACAAAACAGGCAAAAGTAGGAGGGCGAACATTCTCCGTTTGATGCTCAGAATGAGGTATAAAAACCATCTCAAATATAAAAGATGTAGCAGTGTCGGTCATACAGCAGCCGTTTTCTAAAGACTGTTGTCATGGAGACAGGATGGACGTGCAGCGCTTTTATTCTCAGTGCACAAACTCTTCATCCAAATGCTCCAGAGCGCACAGCCAGCACAAGATGGACACAGGGACCTTACTTTGTCTGATATGGAAAAGTTCAATGAGGGTCTGGATTTATTCCAGACTTTAGTGTTTGCATTATTTGATCATGATCTATTAGAGAGGCTTAAAAGTTGTTGTTTCAAGAACTTTAAAGATCACATATCCTCCTCCTCCTCCTCTTCAGTTTAAAAAAGTGTCAGAGCTCCTCAAAACATGTGTGTGAAGTTCTAAATCCACTCTGATCCTGTATTTGATCATGTCTATAAACCCCTCTATTTCAGCCCTGCTCAGAACAGGCTGTTTCTGTGTCTGTACCTTTAAATATGTAAATGAGCTACTGTGTCCTCTATCCGCTGATGATCGTACCTTCATCCTGTGTCGCTGCTCCTCCTTCAGCTTCTCTTGTCGCCCGATGCTCTCTTTCGTCCTGCAGACAGAAATCAAACAGACGGACGGGTCAGTACACGGGCAGTATTTCAGAAGCGTTGTTGAATCATTGCAGGGGGCGTCTTACTCTCGGTCCATCATGTCCCTCATGCTCTGGTACTCCTGTCTCTGTTTCAGCTCCATGAACTCCTCGAAACGCTTCAGCTGCTCCGACTCGGAGCTCGCCACCGCCGCCACCAGCTTCTCCTGCATCTCCTGCCGCAGTTTGAGCGCCATCTGAGCACAGAGGTTCAACACATCACTCAGGAGAGACTACAGCGTCTGTAAAGGTTTATAATAGTCTAAAGCAGCGGTTCTTAACGGGTCTATCCTAAGAACCCACAACAACATGACCTTAATGAGACATGGGAAACAGATTTCTGATATTTTCCAACTCGCGATATTTGGTCGAGTTTAGACCTCAGACGGTAAAAGATGAGATGGAACAAAACAATCATTTCACTAAAAAAGGCGACTCTGTGACCCACTTTTGGTTCCTGACCCACCAGTTGAGAACCACTGGACTATATGTAAGTCTGACCCCTAGTGTTTAAAATGTGTACTGCAGTCTAAATTCTAAACATCATAGAGAGCTGTCCCCCCCCCGTCCTCCTCTCTAGAGTGGATGCTCACTCAGGTCACCATGTGGTGGACTCTGAAGCTTCAGTGTTTATCCAGCTCTGCATGGGTCTGTAAACCTTTCTGTGTTCTAACCTCTCTCCATTTTTCAAAAGCATCTCCAATATTGATCCTAGTTTGAGCACGTTTCTGCTCGTGGAGCTTATTAGAAACATGCAGAGGCTTTTTAGGTCGGGTACAATCACTTCTATCTGAACCACTTCTCTTGCCCGCTTCCATCGCTGCAACACCTGTTGACCTGATAACTGCTCTCATATCTGACAAACCGAGGGGCGTCCAAAACGGCTGTGTGGGGGCGTGTCTTAAAAGCGCCTACCTTCTCTGGTCCAAACAAATCCAGAGCATTCAGGAGCAGAATCTAAAGTTAGAAGGAGGACATACTGGCTGCTGAACAAACAGTTTATCTAAGAACGGTTGTATCTGACCTTCGCCTTTTCCCGCTGTTTCTCCTCAAACTTGAGAATGCGTCCGGCCGTCTCCATGGCTTTGGGTGACAGGAGAGAAATGGTGGGAAGAGAAACAGGAGTGGAAACATCGCTGATATCTGCATCTTCCTCCTTCAGCTCGACAGCCTGCAGCGGACAAAACAAGAGTAAATGTAAGAATCAGAGACGGAAACAGACGAGCTCAAAGCGAGTCAGAGGAGGAAGTACGACAAAACACAGAGAGAGAGAGAGAGAGAGAGAGAGAGAGAGATCAGGGTGTACTCAGGTGAGGAGACCTACCTGCTCACTGTCCGTCCTAAAAGGCGGAGCTGAATGCAGCGTGTTGCTCCTCCCGTTGATGTCCGGGATGGATCCCGAGGAGGACGCCGACGCAGAGTTCTCCTCTGAGAGGCCGGGGCTCGAGTCTCCTGAGCTGGAGCCCAGAAAGCTCCTGGAGGTCTGTGGAGGTAAAGGACCCAGACGCTCCAGAACGACCCCGGAGCGCGGGGACAAGCTGAGGTCCTCTCTGCAGCCCGCCAAAATGTCCTGTGAGAGCACAGACACACATTAACCCTCAGGGGTATGATTCTGTCATCATCTTACAGAGATGTTAAAGAGAGAGAGAGCACAGCAGACGTTTTAAAACTCTGATTACAGCTAAAAAAAAATGTCTAAATGTTTGAGTTTCTGCGTGAAGAAGTTGTTCCCTTATGTCTTATGATCAATGAGTCTCTCTGTGAGGAGGTTCCTGGTTTGAATCCCCGTCAGGAGTCTCTCTGTGAGGAGGTTCCTGGTTTATATCTCTCTCTCTGTCCATCTAAACAACATTATTTCATTAATATTATTTCATTAATATTATTTTATTAACATTATTTTATTAATATTATTTTATTAACATTATTTTATTAATATTATTTCATTAATATTATTTCATTAATATTATTTTATTAACATTATTTCATTAACATTATTTTATTAACATTATTTTATTAATATTATTTTATAAATATTATTTTATTAATATTATTTTATAAATATTATTTCATTAACATTATTTTATTAACTTTATTTTATTAATATTATTTTATTAACATTATTTTATTAATATTATTTTATTAATATTATTTTATTAACATTATTTTATTAATATTATTTTATTAATATTATTTTATTAATATTATTTTATTAATATTATTTTATTAACATTATTTTATTAATATTATTTTATTAATCAAAGTGTTTCTTTAACTTCTCTGTAATTTTAGTGATTTATAAAAAACAAGTAGAGGAGGTTAGCTCTGCTCGGCTCATGTTGACTATCCTCCCAGTTTAACCCGGGTTAACTCACCTCTCCCCTCCCAGTTTAACCCGGGTTAACTCACCTCTCCCCTCCCAGTTTAACCCGGGTTAACTCACCTCTCCCCTCCCAGTTTAACCCGGGTTAACTCACCTCTCCCCTCTCAGTTTAACCCGGGTTAACTCACCTCTCCCCTCCCAGTTTAACCCGGGTTAACTCACCTCTCCCCTCTCAGTTTAACCCGGGTTAACTCACCTATCCCCTCCCAGTTTAACCCGGGTTAACTCACCTCTCCCCTCCCAGTTTAACCCGGGTTAACTCACCTCTCCCCTCTCGGACCAGTTTAACCCGGGTTAACTCACCTATCCCCTCCCAGTTTAACCCGGGTTAACTCACCTCTCCCCTCTCGGACCAGTTTAACCCGGGTTAACTCACCTCTCCCCTCCCAGTTTAACCCGGGTTAACTCACCTCTCCCCTCCCAGTTTAACCCGGGTTAACTCACCTCTCCCCTCCCAGTTTAACCCGGGTTAACTCACCTCTCCCCTCTCGGACCAGTTTAACCCGGGTTAACTCACCTCTCCCCTCCCAGTTTAACCTGGGTTAACTCACCTCTCCCCTCTCGGACCAGTTTAACCCGGGTTAACTCACCTCTCCCCTCTCGACCAGTTTAACCCGGGTTAACTCACCTCTCCCCTCCCAGTTTAACCCGGGTTAACTCACCTCTCCCCTCCCAGTTTAACCCGGGTTAACTCACCTCTCCCCTCTCGGACCAGTTTAACCCGGGTTAACTCACCTCTCCCCTCCCAGTTTAACCCGGGTTAACTCACCTCTCCCCTCCCAGTTCAACCCGGGTTAACTCACCTCTCCCCTCTCGGACCAGTTTAACCCGGGTTAACTCACCTATCCCCTCTCAGACCAGTTTAACCCGGGTTAACTCACCTCTCCCCTCTCGGACCAGTTTAACCCGGGTTAACTCACCTCTCCCCTCTCGGACCAGTTTAACCCGGGTTAACTCACCTATCCCCTCTCAGTTTAACCCGGGTTAACTCACCTCTCCCCTCTCGGACCAGTTTAACCCGGGTTAACTCACCTCTCCCCTCTCGGACCAGTTTAACCCGGGTTAACTCACCTCTCCCCTCTCGGACCAGTACGGGTCGAACGGGATCTTGGCCTTGGTGGACTTCTTTAAGGCCTCTAAAGTTTCCCATCGCAGATTTTCAGCAGGCATCGCAGCGAGATGAGAAATTAAAAAACCCAAACTACGAACTCATGCTAACGCTGGGCTAAGTTTGAAAACACCGGATGGGTTACATCAATGACAAACCGACGAGAAACAACCCGCCTCATTTCAGTTCCGCTGCGTTTCCGCTGCGCCATACCTGTGTACAGTAAATACCTGAAATATGATGTTTATTTTCTGTATATTTAAATCCTATATGTGGCATTAAAACAAGAAGACCTCAAATATGTAATGGAAATACAAAAGATGTTTTTTGTGTCTTGGTAACTCAACTGTAGACATCGTTTTGTTACAGTCTGATACACTCTGCATGATTAATATTCATTTCCTGCATTTCCACCAAAATAACCAAAATAACCTCCTCTCATGATAAAACTTAGAAAACGATTCTAAAACAGCACAAGATAAAATTCGGCCTTAAGTCATTCAAAAAGTATATTTCTTATGTGTTAAGTGTTACATGGTCCATGGCGCTTCGTGCCGGCACACCTCCCCTGAGAACCCGATCATAAATGTTTCTCTTTAAATTAAACACAATGTTGTCCTGATGAAATGTACGCCGAATTAAAAAACCGACACTATTTGTTTATAAAATGTGAAAATATTTATTTTTCTTCATTTATATATTCGCTAGTAAGTAAGGATATCATGAATTGCCAAATTTATTAACGAGGTTTCGCACGTGAGTACAAAAATATGGTGATTTGACACTTTTTTTAGGAAATCACTTATTTTACTTCTTCTTTTTCTTTTTTTTTAAAAAGGAAGAATTATGTTTGGTTGCTCAACAATCTATTGTCTCAAAAATATTTAAAGAATTAAAACTAAAAGACACATTTCTCCTTAAAACAGCATTTTCTTAATCACAGCTGCTCTTAATTGATGTTCTTGTTCTCGTGTTTTTAACCCTGCCTGCTCTTATCGTTTGCTTTAAATGCTGGGTTAGTTTGTAGCACTTTGATTGTATTAATAAAATGAACTATTATATGTATGCACGTCTAAAAGTGAAACATTTTTTTGAAATGGGATACATTTAAAATACGGCAACAGAAACAAGAATGGCGCAGGAAAGAGATTTATTCAAAACAATATAAATACATTTCATGCAACAAATTAGTCATCATTTCTTTTAAAAGGATTTTATTCATTCAGTGACGAGCAGAGGTATTTAAAAACACGACGTGGGTCGACTTCATTGCTTTGAATGTATGAATGTTTCTCATGTTGGAGAGTGTACGGTCAGCTGGTGAGCAAAGACTCTCCAAAGACGTTTCCATACGAGGTTTTAAGAAACTGAACATAATTCTGCAGACTTCGGTTTGTCGAGTCGGACTGCTCCAGTCGTTCCTTCATGTTCTGCAGCTGAGTCTTAAAACGACGCTCCATCTGGAGACACAAAACACAGAAACGTTTATCGTTTGATTTCCTGGTTCAGTCACAGCGTGCAGCAGCTCAAACATCAAAACTAACAGCTTTGTGACAAACGATGGAGGTGCTGCCGTACCTCCTCCTTGCTCCTCTGCAGCTGACTCTGCTCCGTCTTGGCTCGGCTCAGCTGGCTCTGCAGGTCCAACGCTTTGGACTGAGACGCTCGCTCTTTGGTCAGAACTCTCTGAATGCTCTCGTCAACCTGCAGGCCACGAGAATAGATCAATAAAAGAGCTTAGAATCTGACGAGCAGTGATGTAGAGTGACATACGATATAATGAATGTCAGTGTGACTGAGATAATATCTCTGAGAAATCATCATCTTGTGTTTAGGGGGCGTGTCACTCACTTAGACCGTAACAACGGGAAGATTGTGGCCGTAACCAAGGGGATAAAAATCAAACTACGGATGAATTGAAGTTATTTGTTCTTTTAAAAAGAACTAAATCACAGTGAGGACGTGGAAACAGCCGATCAGTGGTGGTCATGATTTGAAATAAGTACGACAACAACAAGCTGAGCTTCTTTCTCTCTGATGTTAAGATACTGTACGTTGTCAAAGGATGCAGATAAAAGGTCTGAACAGGAAGAACCTGTCTCTGTGCGTCATCCAGAGCTTGTTGCAGCTGACGGGACACGACGCTGCACTCGAGCGTCTTCTCCTCCAGCTGCTGCTGAACGCTGCGGACGCCGGCTTCCTTTGACGAGAGAGACTGAGACATCGCGTTGTTTTCCACCTTCAGGTCCTCCAGCCGCCTGCAACACACGACACAGACATCAACAGCTGATGGCAGAGGAAAGGACAGAGGAGAGAGGAGAGGAAAGGACAGAGGAGACAGCGGAGGAGACAGCAGAGGAGAGGAGAGAGGAGACATCAGAGGAGACATCAGAGGAGAGGAAAGAGGAGACAGCGGAGGAGACATCAGAGGAGACATCAGAGGACCCATCAGAGGACCCAGCAGAGGAGACAGCAGAGGAGAGGAGAGAGGAGACATCAGAGGAGAGGAGAGAGGAGACATCAGAGGAGACATCAGAGGAGAGGAGAGAGGAGAGAGGAGAGGAGACAGCAGAGGACCCAGCAGAGGACCCAGCAGAGGACCCAGCAGAGGAGACAGCAGAGGACCCAGCAGAGGACCCAGCAGAGGAGACAGCAGAGGACCCAGCAGAGGAGACAGCGTTGACGGTCAGCTGTGTCAGTGTGTGTACCTCTCTAAGTTGTGGACGGTCTCTTTGAGGACGTTGTTCTCTTCCTGCAGCAGCACGTTCTTCTGCTGAAACGTCTCCAGCTGAGCGCCCTGCTGCTCCACCTGGGGAGGAAGGAACACAATCAAGGAGCTGCAGCAGAGTCCTCAGATCAGAAACAGAACACCCCCTCTGTCTGTCTCCTCTGTCCTTCATTTATCCTGAAACGTCTTTAAAACAGAGGGACTCTCTCTCTCCTCCGCCCCTCCACCGCTGGAGGTCGGTGCTCTCAGAGAATAACCTTCAACTTTCAAAATGTGTCATTGACTTATTGGAGTACGTGGGTGTTACTTCCTCATTTTTCATCCGTCAACCTGCTCTGGATTTCATTTTCTTTTTTTCTTTCTCTACCCCTCCACAGTGAAAGCTTCCTGTGTTCTTTTTTCAGTTTAATTAATGTCATGTTACTTGAATATGAAAAAATCTTTGGAAGAGATAAATTGTTAAATACACTGTGAGCCTCTTTCTGCAGAGAAAGTGCTCCAATGTTTGAAAGTTTGAGGGAGGAGTCTTGCGATTATTTTGCTATTATGTGTGAAGAATACTTTTCCTAAATAAAAAATGTGTCATTGGACTCTTCACATAGGATCCTCTCGACTTCCTCTTGACTCTGAGGAAGATGCAGTGTGCATCGTTTCGTTGTTCCTTTGCAGCTTAATAAATTGAAGTGATTTGTGTGCTCCTGTATTCTTTGGATCGTGGAGGTGTGAAGGCGTCCATTAAAACATTTTCTGACTTCTCTCCTTGTTTTAGTATCTGTCCACTTCTTTATCTTGTTGTTGTTAAACTCTTTGTATCCTGATCCTGGGCTTTAAGAACAAAGGGCTGCGTGCTGTACCTTGTGTCTGACTTCAGACAGGGCCGAGCTGTGCTCCACGTTCCTCCTCTGGTGGGCGTCGGCCTCCTGCTGGGCGTCTCGGAGCTGCTGCTCGCTCCTCCTCAGCCTGTCGGGCAGCGCCTCGAGCTCCCGGAGCCGGACCAGCAGCTCCCTCCTCAGCTGCTCCATCTCCCTCTCCAGGCTCACCTTCAGCTCCCGCGCCTCCTTCTGCGTCGCCTCCAGCTTCAGGCGGTGCTCCTCCGCCTCCAGGCGAGCCTGCTGCACCTGCACGCACACGTCTGAGGTCACTCGAGGAAGCAGCAGGAAACTGTCTCGTGTTTGCAGATTAAATGTGTCGACGTTTTACCTTCTTCTTGTATTTCTCCACCAGGCTTTCATGTTTTTTGATGGCAGATTTCAGCCGCCGCGCTTCAGACTGCAGACCCCCGATCTTCTCCTCAGACGACCTCAGCTGATCCTAAACATGAAGTCATAAATATTCATGAAAAAGCTCTGATGTTTTGGGGGAATCTGCCTCAGAGGTTTTCTGCCGGCACCTTGAGTCTCTGGTTGTCCAGCTGAGTGGACGTGTTTTCAGAGCCCAGATGTTGGATCTGATCCCGGAGCTCGTCCCTCTCCGTCCGACTCCTCTCCTCCATCGAGGTCATCTTGGAGGTCAGCTCGGTCACCTGACTGAGACGCAGACGGGGATGTGAAGAGTGTTACATTTAGTTCACTACAATCCCTGAAGTGTTTTCTAAAGCTGTTTTCACACTCCTGAAATCCTCCTGATCAGCTGTTCACACACGCTCCTCACAGAAGGAGAATCTCTGTCACTGACTCCTCATCTTTATTAAGGTCGCCATATTTTTGTTACCTAAACGTTTTTAAAAGATACAATCTCCGTTATCTTAAAGGCTTTCTATGAGAGTCTCTGTGAGTCATGACTGTCTACAATGGGTGTAACACCCGAGTCCCACTGTCTGTGATGTTTTCAGAGTTTTCAGAGTCCTATCTTCAGTTTGTTTACATCGCCAGGACGGCCGGCTGACTCCTCCCCTCGTGTATAAAAGTTGTTTAATTGAGGGACTAGAGAAAAGAAGAATAACATACTGTACTCACTGCTTAACTGTGTTTCTAGATCACGCTCATTTCAGGTAAATTTACATGCAGTGTGAAGATACCAGCATAATAAAGATCACTAGCATTAGCATGCTAACACAACAATGCAGCGCCAGTTGTTTTGGTTTCATGCTGGTGCTCAAGGGCGACATCTGCTGGATCAAAACATCACATATAAAGCCTTTAAAGAAAGAAAGTATTGAAAAGTGCCGGAGCTTAAAAAAACTTCTATTTCTTAAGACGGATGCAGAGGAGAGGAAATGGTCCATCAAAACAATCGTGCTTAAGCACGGTACGGGACAACGGGGCCGAGTGTGAGTGCGTCCTCAGACAGTGTGCAGGAGACTGTCTGCAATTTTTGGGAATTGAAAAAAAAAGAGAAAGTTTCCAATATTGTTTGCCCCCCCCCTTTCTCTCTTGTTATCTTGTATTGATCATAAACACATTTCATTCCAGCTGCAATAACAGTTTATCACTTCAGATTAGCTATAAAGTTTAAACACACACACCCTCGCATGTTGCAGCATCATGATGTCTAAGAGAAAAGTTTCATTAGGATCACTCACAACTTGAACGCAGACAGCTCCTCCTCCAGCGCTCCTTTGGCGGCGGCCTCTTTGGAGTGTCGGAGGCACCAGTCGCTGGACGTGGACAGAGACTGGGCCAACTGGGATTCCTTTAACACAACACAGATTTGATCACATTTATTATTTGTTTACACTTCTGTTCAGATATTTATCTTTTGGTATCTATTTTGGTGAACTTGTTGACATGAAGCTGCTGGCTCAGCTGATCCCGTCTCTCCTCTGTCACGACCTCTGAAGACGACACAGAGGGGGTACAAGGTCGTAAATGATTCATTCCTCTCCTTTCCATTTCTTTTAAAGCTTCTGTACTTTTGGATACTACTGAAGACGGCCCACTAACCCGTGTTTGTGTGTTTCAGTGTAACATTGAGCTCATCCAGGAGGCCGACTGAACTTTCTGAGAACTTGATTTGCATAAACTGTCTAACCAGACGAGACACACCGCCGCCAGTTAGAAAAAAGATTTGCATGCAGCCCTGTGGATAAACCAGAGAGGACCAGAACCACAAAGAGACCAGACCATCCCCCCCCCCTCCCCCCGGTATCTTCTGTAACGTGTTCCCTCTCTGCATACTGACCTTCTCCTGCAGTTTGGCTGTGAGCTGCCTGGCCGTCTCCTCGGCTCGCTCGGCCTGCTCGGTCAGCAGAGCCAGCGCCTCCTGCTCCTTCAGTCCCCGCTCCTTCTTCTCGTCCGCTCTGCGCTGCCTCAGCGTCTGCAGCTCCTCCTGCAGAGCTCCAAGCGCCTCCTGCTGCTCCTCCTGGCTCTGCAGCATCCTCTGCTCCACACAAACAAATCAACAGTCTGTGTGTCTTTGTCTCTGAGTGTCAGAGAAAAAGCAGCGACCAGCGTCTTTATTTTCATGGTTCTGACTTTAATGTGCTCAGAGTACTTAGAGTTTAAAATCTTTACACTTTTTCAGACGTCACTACTGATCTATTCTTCCTCTCTTTAGAGTTATATTTTAGGCCATATTTGCCTTTAATTTAAGTTAACAACATTGTCTGACTGCTCATCATTATAGTGTATCTGCACTTAACATATGTCTCTCTGATTGCACAGCTCTGGATAACCCTCGATATCGTTATTGCACATTTACCACTGTCATCACTGTTTCTGCAAACTTACATCTCTTACTTCCAGCAAGTATTTTTACATTCAGTTCACAAGCCTGAATAAATGTTGTATTTCATTTTTTTTAACCAGTAAGAATGTTCAGTTAAATCCTTGATGTATAAATCTCTTCTTATTCTTATTTTTTATATTCTAAGTGTTTATTTACTTTGAATCTATTCTTATATGTTTTATCTGCTCTGATAACCTCCTGCTGTAACACCACAACCAGTTTGGGATCAATAAAGTCATTTATATGAGATAGAACACCTGAAGAGAGACAGGAAACGTTTGGAGGAGAGAGTGGGATGTGTGTGTGTGTGTGTGTGTGTGTGTGTGTGTGTGTGTGTGTGTGTGTGTGTGTGACGTGCAGCTGTCGTCCTCGCTCTGTGTCTGATCGGAGCCGTCGTCATCATGAAGCTCGGAGGTCGGAGGGCGAGCATCCTCCGTTTGATGCTTAAAAAAGAACGATCTCAACACGGCTAAAAGCAACAGAGCAGAGTCGGTGACAAGAGACTGTCGTCATGGAGACGAGCGCTTCATCCAAGCACGGCCAGCGCTGGTCTGCCCCCCCAAAGAAGCCCAGGTGGGCGCAGGTTGTTTCAGTTTGAAGAGTAATAAAGACTGATGGTGAGCTCTGCAGAGCCTCAAATGAAGCCGGTCTGAATCACTTATTTCACATCCTAAAGGAAACATGGAGTAAGAGCAGGACTCGCTCTCTTTTCTTTTCTGTGACTCAGAGTTTCAGACACGGTGTATCTTTCTGACTTCATGTTCACTAACCTGAATGTGAGCGGTCAGGCGGCTCTTCTCAGCGTCCGCTCTGCTCAGCTCGGACTGCAGACGCTCCCGGGTCGAGTGCAGGACGCGTGACAGCTCCTCCGTCGTCTCCACTTTGTCCTGCCGTGACGGAGGAGAGGAGAGGGATGTTGTTACCACGGGAACCTCAGAAGGTGAACACTCACAAACAGTTCATGTGGAAACGTTTATTCAGACCTTTTCAAAGTCCAGATGCTCGCGAGCGTGCACGCCTCTCTCTCTTTGTTGGTGAGTTTGGTTAAAAGTCGCTGGAAGAGAAGAAGAAGAAGAAGAACTCCCCTCAGTTGTTTATAACGCTGAATAAAGAAGAAGAAGAAGAAGAAGAAGAAGAAGAAGAAGAAGAAGAAGAAGAAGAACAGCTGCGTTTGAGCAGCTGACAAATACTCACGATGTTTTCTGCTTCACTGTCGGCCAGTCTCGTCTTTATGGCGTCTTTCTGTTCCAACCAAATCAGAGATTCTCTCTGTGGACAACGAGACAAAGTGTCAACGTGTTTCTACTCCAACAATCTCTGACATCAGAACGATCCAAATCAAACTTTGACAATTCAAATCAAAGTTTTGAATTCTGGTATCGTGACATCTGGAGTCTAGATGAAAATGTTTCAAAGCCGCGATATTTACGCCCCTGTGACGTTTCGGCTTCAATCTGAATGTTGAAAAGGCGTGATGTGACCTCACAGACTGGGACACCGATGTTACGGCGTCGCGGAGTCCATATGATTTATTATGACGGCTGAGTTTAGTTACAGAAACATTTGTTGAAAAAAAAAGAAGCAGTCTGAAAAGAGGCTGCAGATTTCATCCACTTCCTGTTACCTCGTATTCCGTCCAATCTCTGAGGAGCTCTCGCAGGCCGTGATTGGTGCTGTCAAACATGGCGATCTTCTCCAACAACAGCTGCTGCTGCCGTCTCAGCGACGCCGCGTGCAGCTTTGACAGACGCTTGTCCTGAAAACAGATGAAATCATTTTTTTGAATCATGGACTCAAAATCCCTCCTGACCAACCGAGTGCGCTCTCTGATCATTTGGTACCTTAGCCAGGCCGTCTATGGTTTCCTTCAGAGCTGTCAGCTGATTGGCCACAGCTACGCCGTCGATTTCTGCCTCTACGAGCGCCCTCAGGAGCGCAGCAGACTCTCTGGTTTGTTGAGCCCTGACATCCGAGCTGAGGAGAAAGATCAGAGTGATGATTCCTCTATGACCCTCTCTGTACGGTCTGTGTTTCTCACCCTCCGTGGTGAACTATGTCAGTGAAGAATGGCGAGGAGACGTTTACTTTTCAACTTTGAGGGTGATGACCACAGAGCGTAAAGTAAGATGTTGGTCTGGATCAGGGATGGAGCAACTTTGGTCACAGCAAGGGCCACATTCATCTAACTGTCACTGCCAGGGGGCCAAATTGTAGAATACAAAACGATTACAGTCGATGATGTCTCAAACTGAACTCAACATGTACCACTGATCACATGTTATCATGGACATATTTCTGCTTTTCATGATTTTATGGCAGATTTTGTCATGTTTTCTTCATGTTTCCAATTAGTTGTAAATGGTCAATGTAAGAATTGACCTGAGGGCCACGTTGAGGGTTGACGGGGCCGGGCCGCCAGTTGCCCACTCCTGGTCTGGATGTCTCACAGATGCAGAGTCCCCCAAAAGAACGTCCTCACATCATCTCTGACTTTGTGCAGAATAAAGACGAGGAGGCTGGAGAGAGGAACATTCAGATGTTTGTGTTCACACTTGAGACGCTCTCACTTGTTTGAACGACGAAGGCCTTCTTGCTCTCGGAGGAGGGCGCTGAGATTTTTGGAAACAGCAGCTAACTCTTCTTCTTCCTCCTCTGCATCGCGCTGATGTCTGGCTCCTCTCTCTGATTGATGCTGAACTCTGCTTATCTGAGGAGAAGACCAAAAAAACTGATTTATTTAAAGAGAACACACTGAAAAAACAATTCACCAGGAATTTAAAAACAAGGCTTTAAAATAAACTGATGGGGCGCTGGTGGGTCAGTGGTTAGGGCGCGCGCCCCATGTATGGAGGCTGTCGCCTCGAGCGGGAGGCCCAGGTTCACATCCCACCTGTGGCCTCTTTCCGCATGTCGTTCCCCGCTCTCTCTCTCTCTCTCTCTGGTTTCAGACTCTATCCACTGTCCTCTCTCTCTCTCTCTCTCTCTCTCTGGTTTCAGACTCTATCCACTGTCCTCTCTCTCTCTCTCTGGTTTCAGACTCTATCCACTGTCCTCTCTCTCTCTCTGATTTCTGACTCTATCCACTGTCCTCTCTCTCTCTCTGGTTTCTGACTCTATCCACTGTCCTCTCTCTCTCTCTGGTTTCAGACTCTATCCACTGTCCTCTCTCTCTCTCTGGTTTCAGACTCTATCCACTGTCCTCTCTCTCTCTCTCTGGTTTCTGACTCTATCCACTGTCCTCTCTCTCTCTCTCTGGTTTCTGACTCTATCCACTGTCCTCTCTCTCTCTCTGGTTTCTGACTCTATCCACTGTCCTCTCTCTCTCTCTGGTTTCAGACTCTATCCACTGTCCTCTCTCTCTCTGGTTTCAGACTCTATCCACTGTCCTCTCTCTCTCTCTCTGGTTTCTGACTCTATCCACTGTCCTCTCTCTCTCTCTCTGGTTTCTGACTCTATCCACTGTCCTCTCTCTCTCTCTGGTTTCTGACTCTATCCACTGTCCTCTCTCTCTCTCTGGTTTCAGACTCTATCCACTGTCCTCTCTCTCTCTCTGGTTTCTGACTCTATCCACTGTCCTCTCTCTCTCTCTCTCTGGTTTCAGACTCTATCCACTGTCCTCTCTCTCTCTCTGGTTTCTGACTCTATCCACTGTCCTCTCTCTCTCTCTCTGGTTTCTGACTCTATCCACTGTCCTCTCTCTCTCTGGTTTCAGACTCTATCCACTGTCCTCTCTCTCTCTCTGGTTTCTGACTCTATCCACTGTCCTCTCTCTCTCTCTGGTTTCAGACTCTATCCACTGTCCTCTCTCTCTCTCTGGTTTCAGACTCTATCCACTGTCCTCTCTCTCTCTCTGGTTTCAGACTCTATCCACTGTCCTCTCTCTCTCTCTGGTTTCAGACTCTATCCACTGTCCTCTCTCTCTCTCTGGTTTCAGACTCTATCCACTGTCCTCTCTCTCTCTCTGGTTTCTGACTCTATCCACTGTCCTCTCTCTCTCTGGTTTCAGACTCTATCCACTGTCCTCTCTCTCTCTGGTTTCAGACTCTATCCACTGTCCTCTCTCTCTCTGGTTTCAGACTCTATCCACTGTCCTCTCTCTCTCTCTCTGGTTTCTGACTCTATCCACTGTCCTCTCTCTCTCTGGTTTCTGACTCTATCCACTGTCCTCTCTCTCTCTCTGGTTTCAGACTCTATCCACTGTCCTCTCTCTCTCTCTGGTTTCAGACTCTATCCACTGTCCTCTCTCTCTCTCTCTGGTTTCTGACTCTATCCACTGTCCTCTCTCTCTCTGGTTTCTGACTCTATCCACTGTCCTCTCTCTCCTGGTTTCTGACTCTATCCACTGTCCTCTCTCTCTCTGGTTTCTGACTCTATCCACTGTCCTCTCTCTCTCTCTGGTTTCTGACTCTATCCACTGTCCTCTCTCTCCTGGTTTCTGACTCTATCCACTGTCCTCTCTCTCTCTGGTTTCTGACTCTATCCACTGTCCTCTCTCTCTCTCTGGTTTCTGACTCTATCCACTGTCCTCTCTCTCTCTCTGGTTTCTGACTCTATCCACTGTCCTCTCTCTCTCTCTGGTTTCAGACTCTATCCACTGTCCTCTCTCTCTCTGGTTTCAGACTCTATCCACTGTCCTCTCTCTCTCTCTGGTTTCAGACTCTATCCACTGTCCTCTCTCTCTCTCTCTGGTTTCAGACTCTATCCACTGTCCTCTCTCTCTCTGGTTTCAGACTCTATCCACTGTCCTCTCTCTCTCTGGTTTCAGACTCTATCCACTGTCCTCTCTCTCTCTGGTTTCAGACTCTATCCACTGTCCTCTCTCTCTCTGGTTTCAGACTCTATCCACTGTCCTCTCTCTCTCTGGTTTCTGACTCTATCCACTGTCCTCTCTCTCTGGTTTCAGACTCTATCCACTGTCCTCTCTCTCTCTGGTTTCTGACTCTATCCACTGTCCTCTCTCTCTCTGGTTTCAGACTCTATCCACTGTCCTCTCTCTCTCTGGTTTCAGACTCTATCCACTGTCCTCTCTCTCTCTGGTTTCAGACTCTATCCACTGTCCTCTCTCTCTCTCTGGTTTCTGACTCTATCCACTGTCCTCTCTCTCTCTCTGGTTTCTGACTCTATCCACTGTCCTCTCTCTCTCTGGTTTCAGACTCTATCCACTGTCCTCTCTCTCTCTCTGGTTTCTGACTCTATCCACTGTCCTCTCTCTCTCTGGTTTCAGACTCTATCCACTGTCCTCTCTCTCTCTCTGGTTTCAGACTCTATCCACTGTCCTCTCTCTCTCTGGTTTCTTGTGCTTTTCTTCCAGATCGTTTTGAAACACGTGGTATTTAAAAAGTATCAGTAAACAAAGTAAAGTCAGCTGACAGCACGTTCAGCAGCTCTTCATTGTAAACAGTTCTTTTATTCTGAGCTCACCTCTCTTCTGCAGGTGAGTCTTCCTGGAGGAATCCACGGCGTCTTGACCTTTGACCTCCCTTCCTCTCCCTTCACCTGAGCATCTGTAGTCCTCTGCAGAGTCAAAACATAACTTCTGAATCATCACTCACAGAGAGGAGTCACATCTCCCAGTACTCACAGTACTCCCAGTACTCCCAGTACTCACCTGTGGGGTTCTGCTGGGACTCCTCCTCATGTGAACATGGACTGGTGTGGTCTCCGGTACGTGGACGTGGACCGGCGACTGTGACTCCGGGTCTTCATCCCCACTCAGACCGCCAACAGGGTCAGCTCAGACCTCAGACCTCCAACAGGGTCAGCTCAGACCTCAGACCTCCAACAGGGTCAGCTCAGACCTCAGACCTCCAACAGGGTCAGCTCAGACCTCAGACCACCAACAGGGTCAGCTCAGACCACCAACAGGGTCAGCTCAGACCTCAGACCACCAACAGGGTCAGCTCAGACCTCCAACAGGGTCAGCTCAGACCTCAGACCGCCAACAGGGTCAGCTCAGACCTCAGACCTCCAACAGGGTCAGCTCAGACCTCAGACCACCAACAGGGTCAGCTCAGACCACCAACAGGGTCAGCTCAGACCTCAGACCACCAACAGGGTCAGCTCAGACCTCAGACCACCAACAGGGTCAGCTCAGACCTCAGACCTCCAACAGGGTCAGCTCAGACCTCAGACCACCAACAGGGTCAGCTCAGACCTCAGACCACCAACAGGGTCAGCTCAGACCTCCAACAGGGTCAGCTCAGACCTCAGACCTCCAACAGGGTCAACTCAGACCTCAGACCACCAACAGGGTCAGCTCAGACCTCAGACCTCCAACAGGGTCAGCTCAGACCTCAGACCACCAACAGGGTCAGCTCAGACCTCAGACCACCAACAGGGTCAGCTCAGACCTCCAACAGGGTCAGCTCAGACCTCAGACCACCAACAGGGTCAGCTCAGACCTCAGACCACCAACAGGGTCAGCTCAGACCTCAGACCACCAACAGGGTCAGCTCAGACCTCAGACCTCCAACAGGGTCAGCTCAGACCTCCAACAGGGTCAGCTCAGACCACCAACAGGGTCAGCTCAGACCTCAGACCACCAACAGGGTCAGCTCAGACCTCAGACCACCAACAGGGTCAGCTCAGACCTCAGACCACCAACAGGGTCAGCTCAGACCTCCAACAGGGTCAGCTCAGACCTCAGACCACCAACAGGGTCAGCTCAGACCTCAGACCTCCAACAGGGTCAGCTCAGACCTCAGACCACCAACAGGGTCAGCTCAGACCTCAGACCACCAACAGGGTCAGCTCAGACCTCAGACCTCCAACAGGGTCAGCTCAGACCTCAGACCACCAACAGGGTCAGCTCAGACCTCAGACCACCAACAGGGTCAGCTCAGACCTCCAACAGGGTCAGCTCAGACCTCAGACCACCAACAGGGTCAGCTCAGACCTCAGACCACCAACAGGGTCAGCTCAGACCTCAGACCTCCAACAGGGTCAGCTCAGACCTCCAACAGGGTCAGCTCAGACCACCAACAGGGTCAGCTCAGACCTCAGACCACCAACAGGGTCAGCTCAGACCTCAGACCACCAACAGGGTCAGCTCAGACCTCAGACCTCCAACAGGGTCAGCTCAGACCTCAGACCACCAACAGGGTCAGCTCAGACCTCCAACAGGGTCAGCTCAGACCTCAGACCACCAACAGGGTCAGCTCAGACCTCAGACCTCCAACAGGGTCAGCTCAGACCTCAGACCACCAACAGGGTCAGCTCAGACCTCAGACCACCAACAGGGTCAGCTCAGACCTCAGACCTCCAACAGGGTCAGCTCAGACCTCAGACCAGCTTCTGAATCTTCTTTGTCACCAAAACAAATCTCGACTTTTGTCTCTGGAGCAGACGGCTGTTTGGATTTTCCGAACGAGTCCACTGATTGGTCCGTCTTCAACATCCCGCTCTTTGATTGGTCGAGGAGTTTCCGTGGTAACCATTCAAAGTAACGGCTGTTGATTTAGTCTCTTTAAACGGTTTAAACGGACGACTCGATGAATTCAATCCTGTTAATTTATGAAAACACAGCGGAACAGAGATTTAACGGATGTTAGGTCGAAGTTTTTTTTGTCTTTCACGAAGTTTGATCGGTAAATATCAGACTTTAAGGTAAATATTCGAGAAGACTCCATATCCGGTTTCTCCCCCATTGCATTTCCGAACATTACCCTGCTGCATTCATGTGTTGTCTACATAATCGGAAAAATTAGCTTCACACTACAATAAATCCCGAATCCCGAATTTCCGGCCGAAGACTTCCTTGGGCCGGAATGAGAAGGTAGAAAGTTGTAGTGAAGGTCGGTTACCTTTGACAGAGTAGAGATGTTCTTATACAAATACGGAGAAAGGTAAATATTGCCTTGATGTCGCTGAATCATTAATTCACGATTTGACTGTTACTCACAGCAGGATCATACACTATGGTATGAAATACTATCGACTGTTACTTTACAACTAAAGTATCACAATCACACATTTTTAAAACCTCCATTTAGCTCATTATAACATTATAATCGTTAACACGTGAGTCGAGAGATAATTCCGAGCACCCAAAGGTGAACGTGAACGCAGCGTCAGTCAGCCTGAATCGTCATATAATTGAACATTAACTGACTAACTGTGTCCTGGGGGGTTTATGTACTCAGATGATTGTTAATATGCTCATTCGACTGATGAACTTAAAGAAGATAAAAAGAAGATAATCGATGTTTCTTCGCCCCTCCAGCTGCTTTGTGATTAGCATTAGCATTAGCACACCACGTGTTAGAAACCACCAGGAGACTTTAATGATGCACTTTATGATTATTCTGCTCCTCTTTAACCCCGCTGCTGAGGGCCATGAGGGCCAGGAGGACCGGGAGGACCGGGAGGACCGGGGGACCAGCAGCACCGAGGCCGTGTTGCTGTGCAGGACGTGCGGACACGAACTGTCGCGCGGGACCGAGATCCACTTCGTCCCCAGCCGGCTCGCGCTCTCCAGCCGGAACCACACGCTGCCCGGGGGTCGGAGGGTCCACACCCAGGTGTTCCAGAACCCCCACGGACTCCAGTTTGAGGTGATGACGTTCAGGAAAGCGGACGTGAGTCATCAGTGGCCGGCAGACAAACACTTCACGTGGTTCCCGGGCTTCTCGTGGACCGTGTCCACCTGCCCACGGTGTAAAACTCACTTAGGTGGGTTCAGAACGTGATGTCAGAAAGAACTTATTTATCACTGACAGCAGGAATCCTACTGAAGATGATGAAGGCCGGACAGGAGGAAGATTTTTTAAAATGTTCTCTTAAAGAAGAAAAAGTCAAAATGTCGATAGAAAACCAAAACATGAAGAAATAAACTTAAAATGTTGACAAATAAAAGTCAAAGTTCAGAGGGAAAGAAGGTGACATTGTTAAAAATTCAAGTAGAAATACAATTCTGTGAACTTTTATTCTCAAAATGGTTTTCACATTGTTACGGAGCCCATGAAGTCCAGAACATCCATAACTTCTAACACTCTGAACTGTCACCGTGACATTCAAGATGCTGAACTCTAACAGCTGGTCACGTTGTTCATGATGATACATCTGCTTTGACCAGCTCTGTCTCAGCTCACTTCCTGTCAGCACCTGTGCTCTGTCTCTGCTCACTTCCTGTCAGCACCTGTGCTCTGTCTCTGCTCACTTTTTTTAACCCTCCTTTCACAGTGATTTTTCTTCTTTTTTTAACCCTCCTTTAAACAGTGATTTTTCTTCTTTTTTTAAGCCTCCTTTAAACAGTGATTTTTCTTAACCCTCCTTTCAGTGATTTTTCTTCTTTTTTTCAGGTTGGGGTTTCCAGCCGAGTACCTGGCCGGACACGATCACCACGACCAAGTTTGAGGAGTCTGAGGAAACCTTCCTGGCTTTAATCACCCATCGTCTGTTGAGTGAAGACTTTGCTTCCAGTCTGCTCGTGACTCCAAAATCCTTCATGAGCTGACCAACTGTTTGAGTGTACGATTACCCAGGTGCCTTTGCTGCTACCTTTATTTTCAAAAAATAAATTTCTATGCACCCACCAAACTCCACACGTGGAAAAGAGTTTTATTATTCTAACAAAACAAATTAAAACACATTTCTTTCTTCTTTCAGTAGGAAAGGAAAGTTTGATGAAGGGCAGGGTGTCCTCAGACGGCTTTTTGTAGCTACGCTCGTCAATGTCACATTTCCCTCATTGGCCAATCATAATCACAGCCAACAGACGTGAACGAGGGAAACCACTTTAACTTCTGTAACCTAGAATCAGTAAGCGTTGGTGAGGAGCGCTCTGAAACGGAGGTCGCAGGCTCTGTCTGAGGACACAGGCCCGAAGAGTAACCCAGAACCTCCACCAGATACATGTGAACACTCACAGGCTGCGTTCTCAGTGCAGCTGGAGTGCAGAGACAAAGGAATTCCCATGATAATTATAGATTACACTTAACCAGATAATACCATATGTGAAATTAAACCGTATAAAATTATTACAAACACAACACAGTCACTGATCTGAACTGTCAAAACTGAGTATTTTATTCTCAAACTAATCGGGATGTTTTAATGTTTCGGTGTCTGACTTCCTGTCCTGCTCGATCTGCTCTGTGGTAAACTGATGATGTCTTGTGTATCTGCTGCAGAGGACTGACTGAGCTGAGACGCAGCAGAGCCAGAGGAAGAACACACACTGAATAAAGTGAAAACATATCAGCTCTGCTGCTGTGACGGACCGAGCACACATCTGGTGGAATTTACAGTTAAATTCAGAGATAACAGGTCATTGTTTTTTTTTTTATACCCATGAAGTGTTGAGGGTCAAAATGTGCAAGCTTGTAGTTTTTTTTCCATTTTGTTCTTTATTAAAAATGTCATTTCAAATCTCATGGATATCTGTAAAACAATACAATGAAAAAAAAAAAGTCCCATAGAAATGGTGTCAAAATAACCACTCTCCCCGATAACCAACAGACTCCTGCCCCTCCCGAGCTTACCCCACCCCCCCTCCCACTAAACATTACAAGTCAAAAGGAATGAGCTGGTACTCGTTAACCACATGGGGGAAAAATAACTGTTTTTTTCAAGGGATCAACACCCCAACTGAAAGAAAACAAAATGATACGGGTGGAAAAGAAATCTTGAGAGGTAAACTAGCGCTGGGTCACTACACCATGGCTTTAGTCAATTTACCACACAACCTTTAACTGGAGGAGTTCTGTGTGAATCGTCTTCAAATTCTACTCGGGATGCCGTGCTGACTATTTTTTTATACATTTTTTTTATTATTATTGTTTTTGAGATGACTCAGGGGATGGTACTCACAATTCAGGGCAAAGTGCCATTGGCCTAAGATGTGTCAAAGGAGAACGTAACATGGCACCAACAGGTGAGGAGGCCTCAGAATGGAAAACGAAGCTCACGGATTTAAAAGAAAAAAAAAAAAAAAAATTAAAACCTTTGCTCCCGAACGTGAGTGGAAAAACCAAACAGGAAATAGAAGGTTGAGGGTCTGGGCAGATGAAGTGATTTATTAGTCGTCTTCTCCTTCGTCGTCCTGAATAAAAAAAATTAAAAAAAAATCCAGCAGTCAGCGACGGTTCAAACTTAAAAACGCTGTTCACAACACACACACTTCATTTTCAACATTCATTTACCTCGCCATCTTCTCCCTCGTCGTCGTCGTCTTCCTCTCCATCTTCATCTCCCTCTTCATCGATGTCCTCCAGACCCTCCTCGTCCTCTTCGTCGTCCTCACCTTCGCCCTCTTCGTCGTCCATGTCGGGAACCTGGAGAGAAGAGTCGCAGGACATTTTAACATTCACAAATTATCTAGAAAATGTCTGCTCGCTGTTCGTATAGTTAAGGTTTTCACGAAGCCAGATTTTTAAATATGGATTAAAAAAAAAGAAAGAGTCATAAGCAGCCAACATCAGGCAATGTTTTGTTTTTAAAGGGCGCACTCACACTCGGCACTATGTACTGCTTCACCCTTAAAGTCCAGTGAGAGTGCTCCATACACTTCCTTTGTCCTGGCACACTTGGAAGAGGTGCTTCAGCACGCAACAGTTCATGCACAAGCACAATCACACGTTTACACCGTCGACATGAAATCTTTTGGAAATCCCTGAAGTGTTCTGTCTCTATCCGACTAATGACTCAAAATAAACCACAAAGTCAGTAAAGTATCCGTCATGTTCTCTGTGTTGTTCTCCGATGTGCAGACGCAGACTTGAACGTCCCTTTTTTTAAATTCTGTCTTGTAAACTAAGCGCGCTTCATGATAACATAAAGCTATGCATGTGTTTTATTACGACATTATGTACAAGAGGTAACCGTGCTCAGGCCCGGTTAGTCCTGGGGCGGTGTGAGTGCAGGCCAGCGGGGGAGTTTCAAGTACCAAAAATTACAGGCAAGCTTTTAAAAATTGTACAATTTTTTTTCCAGCCCATTTTTGCAATTTACTCTTCTTGCAGCAGCTTTTGGTTGAAGATATAAGACAGTTTTTTTCCAAGCTTAGGTATTTTTTGATACCACCGATCTTTATAATAACATAAAGTTTACAAATACAGATGAGACCGATCTTAAATCGGGTCCGATAACGACATATTGCTTATCAGATTATCCACATCACCGATCAAGAAAGACCGGTGGTCGCTTCAACGTTCTCAGCTTGCACAGTCTCTCTCTGAAGACATTAAGACTGAACTGTTAGAAGTTCACCGTGTGGTTAACGTACCAGGTAGTACTGCAGCGGGTTTGGCCAGATGTCGTCCTTGATGACCTCCCCGAGCTCATCAGCGCCGGCGTCGGCGTGATCGGTGAACCAAGTGAAGAAGCTCTCTGGCTCTTCGTGTTGCCTCTTTCTTCCTGCTTTGTTCTGTGTCTGGCTGGAGCGCTTGGTCAGGTCCTTCAAAAAACACAGAAAACACAAGACAAGGTCTCAAAGGTTGAATATTTACACTCTGAAAGTTACGCTGAGTGGCGCTTCAGAAGTCAAAGCTAGCTCAGGAAACATAAGGAACAAAGAGCGACGTAACAGTTTAATATTCTGATGACAAACAACGCCGAGAGATGCACACACCTTTCCTGATTTCCATTTGATTTCCGTCGACTTTGAAGATGGGTCTCCGCTTTCGTTCAAATGGAACTCTTTGGAAAGCAGTTTGTTTTCGAAGTACGGATTTTCATCAAAAAACTGGAAGAAAAACGAAGCCGGGTGAGAAAACAGGAAACTTAGCAGCTCAGTTTGTCTCCGTGTAAAAAAACATTACGATACTTACAAAATCTATTCTGTAGCCTGACTTGATGTCTTCAAACTCTGTCACCTCCACTCGGCTCAGGTAATGAAGCGCTTCTTCATCTTCCTCTCCCAGTAGAGCAGATACTGTGACAGAAACGGATCAAACAGACACACGTCAAGTCCCCTCGTAACCACACCGAGTCGTTACACAGCTGTTTCTTTCAAACAGACTATGGCGATGCTTTTTTTAAAAAAATTTTTGCTTACCCTGTGGATGGTTGACAAACGTGGTGACCCAGAAGTTGGGGATTTTGGCGATCAGTTCTGACCTCTTCTGAAAGAATGGCTGACGGAGTTTGTTGTATTTCTGTTCTACTTTGAGGATCTCCTCGCTGGCTTGCTCGTTCAACCTAAAACGTGGGGGAAAAACAGACGTGATGAATGAAGCTAGCTACACACTAATCGATTGAAGGACAATGCGATTATTTCACTGTTTCTGATCGAGTCAGAGCCTCTTCAATTTGGAAACGTAAATATCAAACGATTCCAGGTCGGGCTGCCTCCGACTGAAGTGTCACCAACCAGATGATGCATACTTGTATAAAGCCGTGTCCAAACGTCTTCTCAGACAGGATTTCACCCGTATCGTTTTTCTCTTTTAAACACGGCAGGACAGCCAGCAGACGTCGATCGTCCTCTGATCCTTTTTACAAACAGCAGGTGTGTCGTATCGGGACTGGCCGAGTTATCTAGCGTGTGCGTTAACCTGAAACTGTCCTCATGTTTGTAGTCTTTCACATTCTGAATCGGTTAAGTAAAGGTTTTTTTGGGGGGGGGAGAGAGTTCACATTCAAACTGTAACGAGCCGTTTCAGTTAAAAATACAGTCCATCAACGAGTCAGTCTGTCTGAAGTAGTTTCCTGTTTGATCCAGCAGAGGGCGCTCTCAGCATTACGTGACCATTGCATGCACTCAACCTCAAATAAAGTAATCTTGTGGAGTTAAAAGAAACAGGGGCAGGATTTAGGAGATGTAGACTTAAATGATGAAGACTCGTCTCTCTGCAGATAGCAGCCATCTGCTTTGTGTAAGAGACACAAGGTCACTTCAAACCAGTAACTCTCCAAGCGGGCTCGCAAAGATTGTGTGTACCAGGAACATCTGTGCGATCTGAACGGTGATGGACTTGTGTTTTTAGGAACTAATATAAAATAAACATTTTGGTCCTTTCTGATCGTCAACAGGATGTTGGTCTTAGGCTCATGACCGCTGCGGTAGAAATAAGTTATGTGAATGTTGTGTGAGTGTGGCGGTGATGGTTCCTGAATGTGTTCAAACCTCAGCGTGTGATAAAAAGTTGAGCATGAAAAACTGACAGCCCTATCGTCTGATGTTGCCATAGCAACCAGGACACAATGCCATTTCATTGACGTGCACAGAAATGTGAAACATCCAACATGAACAGATTTTCATCATAAACGGATTACAGCCTCTGATTTCCCCGCTTGTTTCCTATTCCTTTAAAAAAATATTAACTAATCACATAAACTTGCCGTCTCAAAGAAAGAACATCTCAGCCCCAACAAGGAAAAAGCTGTAATTCATTACCTGTCAATTTCGTTTTGAACTTCGTCGATGTGTTCAATAGCTTCTTGCTGCTCTTTCTCTGCAAAAGAAAGAGAGAAAAGAGTTTTAATAAAAATGTAGAACATTTCCAACACAACTCAAGCACATCAGTCAGATACGAGAATTTAACCTTTGATATGATATTGAAATCAAACGATATTGATACCTCTTTCAATACCATGACAACAAAAATACAAGTTCCATGCGCAACATATCGGGCAATTTCTTATTTCAATCGTCAAACACTGGATTGAATTTCTTCCTCTCCTATGTAACCATCTCCTGCAATGGATGAAGCGCTTCTTACGCTTGGGTACCCTTCGCTACCATCGATCATAAAAATAACAGAGTTTACTGATCACACAAGACGAGTCGTGAGGAAAGAGTCATCAGCAGTATCATTGTTTTCTGCAGCATAAATGTTAGAAAATGTTCCACTTTTCAGCTCAAGACGCAGCAATCGTCAAAGACACTTTTGGCCGAAGCAGCCAATCAGATCCAGTAGGAGACTTTACCTCCGCTTTCTCTGACCCCCGCCCTTGCTCTCTCCCTCTCTACGTCCTCTTAGCCGTCGTATCAAACAGCACAGAGACGGGCTAACTGGCTGCTTTGTAGCTGAAGGCTGCTGTGTGAACTCTCACCGTAAAGACGTACGCACTTTTTACAAAGAGAGCCCGACCCGCTGCCAAAGTTACATAGTGCTGAAAACAGGTAAGCAGGGCGCTCTATGGATACAAGAGACGCCATTCTCCCTATTGGAAGTGATTGTTATATAAATATATATATTTTTCAAAAGCATCTCCAATATTGATCCTAGTTTGAGCACGTTTCTGCTCGTGGAGCTTATTAGAAACATGCAGAGCCTTTTTAGGTCGGGTACAATCACTTCTATCTGAACCACTTCTCTTGACCGCTTCCATCGCTGCAACACCTGTTGACCTGATAACTGCACTCATATCTGGTAAACAGAGGGGCGTCCAAAACGGCCGTGTGTGTGGGGGGGGGTCTTAAAAGCTTCTACCTTCTCTGGTCCAAACAAATCCAGAGCATTCAGGAGCAGAATCTAAAGTTAGAAGGAGGACATACTGGCTGCTGCATTGTTGTCAGAGAAGC